GTGAAACACACCTAACATTCGTGGATATAGTAAAAGCTTTTGATAATGTCAATAGAAACCTTCTGTGGAACATAATGGAGAGAAGGGGGTACCCAAAACACTTGATGGCGGTGATAAAAGAACTATATAAAACAACGAGTATTATGTTGGTTATAAAAAGAAATTTATCAGAAGAGATTTCCACCAACAAAGGTGTAAGACAGGGCTGTTGATTATCACTGACACTTTTCAATATATACATGGATGACATGTTTAGAACATGGACATTGAATACAGGTCGAGGGATCTATTTTAGGAAAATATTTTTAAATTCTATTTTATATGCAGATGACAAAGTGATAATACAGGACACTGAAGACAAAATGCAAATGGCAGTATATAAATTAAATCAAACTGCAATAGAATATGGTTTTAAAATATCCAAAGAAAAAACTAAAACTATGGCATATAAAGGAGAACAAATATTGTAATAGAAGGAAGGAGTATAGAACAGATAAAATACTTCAAATATCTAGGTTGCCACATCTCGTTTTAAAGAGATACAGATTTAGATAAAAAATTTTAAAAATATAGAAATATATGCGGCACATTACACAGACATCTACAAAATAAAACTAGGATAGAAACAAGAATAAAATTCTTCAACTCAGTAGCTGTGCCAGTGTTAATATATGGAGATGAAGCAAGAGAAACATCAAAAAAAGATAACTGTAAAATCCACGCAGCTGAAATGAAATTTTTAAGAAGCACTCTAGGTTATAATATCTTAGATAAAAAGAAATGCACAGAGATAAGAAATAAAGTGGGGGACGAACCATTGCTGGAGTAACTGGAAAGAAATCAGAAAAGATGGTATGAACATCTCGTATGAATGCCTGACAGCAGACTACCAGCACTCGCAATGGACTTCAGATGCAGAGGGAGAAGAGATGTAGGAAGGCCCAGAAGAAAGTAGACACCGAAACAGGTTCTTGAACTTAACCCTTGTGCAGAAGTGCAGAAGAAGAAGATTATGAAGCTTTGCTCCCTTGGTTTGTAGGTGTTACAAGAACATAATATATTCCCCTTATTATACAACAATTCTTGTCATGAGTAAACTTTTTTATCTGTAAATTTCAGATGGTGAAGGAAATATAACTTTTTAGAAGAAAATGTAGGAAACAACATGGTGAAGGAAAGTGCAATTGTGAAGTAGAAGATAATGCTAAAGAGAAGTCTGTAAATTTAGGACCATGAAATAGGCAAAGAGGAATTAGAACAATATCGTTATCATATTGTGGAGGGCACTAATGTTTCTACATTTGCAAATATGATAAATATATGGCCAATGGAAATTTTCTCTCATTTTCATAATGGGAGGTATTTAGGTAATGGCCAACAATCCCCGCATCAATGGGAGTATCAACATAAAGAATTTGGCTTGAAGTTTGATTCTCCAGCAGTTGCCAAAAAGGAGCACTATTATCATGAGTAATTCAAAAAATGCTGACTAAATACAGAAAAACCTAATTAAGTAAAATTCCATCTCGACCACAAAGTACAAAGAGAAATAGGTATTTGCCCTCTTACAAGGAAACTAAACAAAAACAAGTTACATAAAATTGGTTTGTAAAAAAACAAGGAACTTTTTTATATTTACACAAATATTTTTGAAAAATATTTATTAATTGCTTTAATATAAGCATTGTCAGATTTTCTTATATTGATAAAATAAGCTAGGAAATAATAATGACTTCTTGGCCAGTATTGATTTCGTCATAAAGTATGACTTTTTTAAATTAAATAAAAGGTGGGAGGCATGTCGCATAGTGAACAAGCTCTGACTACTTCCACTCATCTGGTCAGCGATAATGAAAATGTACAGTAGTTACAGTATGGCACCAATACTTAAAACTAATAATCACACACTTTAAATAGTTGATTTCTCACCAATTTTTATGTACAAATGGTAAAATACCTGCAATATTGACTCCACAATTGTGATAGTCTTTCCAGTTCCAGGCGGACCAAAAATGATGTAAGGAGCAGGACGGCACACACCCTTCACTATATTAATTACTGCCTGACGTTGTTCTCTGTTACTTTCCACCTCTTTACTGACAAATCTGAAAGTAATTCAACAATGAAATAAATGATGAGTTAAAAAAAAACAAAAAACAACAACAAAGTAAAAACAATCATTCTTGACAAATGAGATTTTGATGTAAGAATGAATTTTCTGTTCTGGTTGGTTCTGTATTCAACATTTTAAATTCCATCAATAAATGGCAAACAGACCTCTTTCCTGTACTTTCAACTAGTGAAAAACTTAAGGTCACAACGTTTTGAATTAATAATATAAATTTTTAAAAGCTTATTAAAAAAAACACTGAAAGAGAAAAAGTATAATTTTTATTTTGACGCTTTTTTTCAGTACTTAAATTAGATTTAAATGAAGTAATCTCCTTGAACATGTCAGTGTTAGTAAAACCAGCCTCGAGATTTCACATACACACTCAACAATGTCCCTAGTTGATAAGTATGATGACTTAAAAATCAGCAAAGGAAGCCCCTTTGCTTTCAGGTAGGTCAAGGGAAAAAACAAATTTTAAACATTGACCAGTTAACAAAGCATAACTTAGCCTTCAATCATCACTTATGTGGTCCGAGAACTTAACCACTGACAACTAGTGCAGTGAAAAAGGTTGTGGAGAGGATTTCAGCAATGAAGTACCAAGAATGGTATAAGCAACTACCTCATACCCACCCAATATATGCATACAAGCATATAAAAGTAAAGCTGCATTAATTGACTAGACGTCTATAAAAAACAATGTCACAGTTATTTTTTAATTTGCCTAAGAGAAAGCAGAACAACGCAGATCCTGCTCCTGCTCCAGGTATACCATGCACATTGTTCCACATGCACAGATGAAAACCATCTGGAAGCAGAATACATCACTCTACATTCAGTTATCAGTGGCATCCCACAAGGATCAGTTCTTGAACCAATACTACTTATTTTTTACATCTGGAATTTTGAGACGTTATGAAAATCTGCACCAACTAACTAGAGATTTTTATGTTATACATTATCTACTACACATATATGAATGGTGAAGTCTGTGACAATTATCTTAAACCCATAATAAGTGCACTGACCTTCAACTCAGTTCCAAGAACTTCAAATCCACATATATCATTGAAAACATTATTTTGAGACAGGTCACTAGTGAAAATTACCTGGGGTGTTATCACACAAAACCTCAAATGTAAAGGTCAGGTAGTTGCCATGACTAAGCTAGTTAATAGCCTTCTGTACCTCACATGAAAATTCTTTCTTAAGTTGAATGTCCCTGCGATTATGAGAATATTTATGGTATTTATTACATTCATTCTTGAACATGCCAATGTTATGTAGGCCCCATAATTCAAGAAGGATGTGGGGATTATTGAAAACATTCAGAGAATGCCTCATGCATACCCACTGAACTCTCCCAAATATCTTGATTTGGCCATCCCAAATATTTTGAAAGATGTTGAAAAATGCACCTCCTTACATTATAGGAAAGAAGAGATAGAAATGATATTATTGAAACATTTTAAATCCTGAATAGTGAACACAACATCCCAAAATTAAATTAGTCTTCATCATGACTATTCACCCTAGACTTTGAGGACATATGAAACTTTGGAAGGAGAACATGAAGCTCAGAGATCTGAGAAATTTCCTCGCCAAATGGATTGCCAACGGTTGGAACTACCTCCCACGAGACTGTTTCAGCCAACACAGTTAATTCATTCACAGAGAAGCTGGACCATATTATAAAGAAACCAGTGTAATTAGATAAAACAAATTACTGATTGGGATAAAGTTGTCATTAAATTCAAATGCATGAATGTATAATGTCATTTACTCCGGCAATTTAAACCGTATCATGATATTTGTATACTGGCTTCAGCTACAGACATGAAAATCATTTAAGACATATCAAAGTAGGCATGACAATTCCAGAAAAAATCAATACGACACTTTAAAAGTTCAGTGCCAAATGTTTTTAAAACAATTATACAGAAGACTGCTGCAGCACCAGCATGCAGTAATTGCTCTAATCAGAATTTTAAATGAAATAAAACTGGAATTTCAATATGACATCCTGCTACAGCATGAATTGAATGTATTTTGCAAGTCACATTTAAACTCTTAGAGTTAAAAAAGTATTAATTGTTTTAACATATGTAATAATAATGATAATAATGATAATAATAATAATGATGATGATGATAATAATAATAATAATAATAATAATAATAATAATGAAAAGGATTTTGAGGTGTAAATTATGGTCGTAAAAGGGGAAACAAGGTTCTGACAATACATACAAAAATGTGCAAAAAAGGAGCTGCTGAAACAACTGTATTAAGGGTTACATAAACTCAAGTTTCTAAAATATATAGATCGTTTTAACCAATTTTTTCTTCTTCAGAGTTCTTAAGAGGTGATTCCTATTACTAATAGAACAGTAGAACCTCTATAATCCGAACCTTGCAAACCTGAAATTTCGGGTAATCCGAACAAAATTCGGGATGGAGGACAAATAAATACACCACTTATTTGTAGCATAAAGAAATAATTTAATAATTATTGAAACACAAGTTGACAAGATGAAACTTTTATTATAAATATCACATGTTTACGTAACAGTAATTTTCACTTAAGAGGAACTTGCAAAATCGCTAATAATCTTTTGCCTTAATGAACTGAACTGCTTGATGATGCAATGTAATAATGCAATCGCTACCCTCCATTGCCATATTCTCACATCCTATGCTACATTGCACTGACCGGTAATTCTATAGATGTGTTAGTACATGCATGGAACTTATTTTTCCCGCAGACTGCATAGTAGAAAGTACTTTGCATGAGCATCAAATTGGGTCTGCACAAGCACTTGCCCGTGCAAGAACCTTGGTGCTCTTGAGGGTACAGGCAACTTCCCATGACTCCCCTCTCCTTTCTCTTCCAAATTCACAAACACAGCCAGTGCTCGTTTAATATTGACAATGACATGACGGTAAGGATAAACCTTTTCCTCAGATCACACAAAAGTGGGTTTCTGCATGCCCATTTAAATGTCCTGATTTGCCTCCCTGGGCAGCACTTTAAATCCAGTAGGAAACGGTTAAACTGTTACAGCAACACTGTTGAAATTTAAATTGACGTAACTGCTGTAATTAACCATTGTTGTTGGGATATATAAATTACTGGAGGTTTACGTAAAAGTAATTTGAATATTTATGTAATATTGTTGACTTCTGATTAAATGAGATTTTAAATAGCTGTTCAAGAAGAGAAAAAATACATTTTCCTGCTTAGTCATTTTAAAATGCACAAAAGAATAGAGAAAAGGGTGCTGAAGCATAAAAAGAGGGAAAAGGTAGTAAAATGTAATAATTTCATGAAAAGGTCGTGCAATTTGTGATCATTTTGCTTCATTTCTTCATTTCAAATACATATATTAAACTATCTGCATGAAAGCAGCTATATTTTTGAAAATCCTTTCCCTAATAATAATCTATACTAATATATAAAGACAAACGGGCGTTGCATTACAGCACGATAATCGAAATGTACAGGACAAATAGCAATGAAATTTATGTGCTAGCTTCCTTAGAAGGTCAGGAATGCTATAGGCTATGATTTACGACATCAATTCACAGAGTTGTGCATATTTGTAGAATGGCTAAGGTCTTAAGTTGATTCTACTGTCAATTGTTTAATGTGAAATGTTTATATTTACGAATAATTCTGACTACTTTTCTTCACTCTATTTATAAAAGTAACTTGGATAAGGAAAGTCAATTGTATCTAGGCATGAATGTAATAAGTGCACAAGAGAGAAATATACTTATTCATATATGAAATGTGTGGAAAACTACATTTTGCTGTTGAATGTTTAATATTATGGTAAAAAAGGTATGAATGCAGACAAGTGTTCTTCGTGAAATAGTTTAAATGTAGTTAGTTAAGTATGATTTTTACATATTTGCGAGTGGGACAGAGTATGTCGGGATGTGTCGAGGTGAGTGAAAGTGAAACATAAGAATGATTAGCATGTTAGGCTGAAACTGTAACAGATGGATACATTTTTGAAGGGAAGTGTTTTATTATTGTGGTAAAAGCATACATTTAGCTGATGAAGGAATAATTATGTAAATTGACAAAAGTTCGACAAGTAGTATTGAAGTAAAAGAATAATGAGAAATGAAAGGAATTGAATGTGTGTCAATACTGTTTATCAAGGCTTTTGAAAATAGAGCAAAAGAGCTTTTAGACAACAGAAAAACTTTGGACAAGTCCGGATCCAAGATGTGATCTTGGATTTTTGGAGATATAATAATTGAAGATATCATAAGTGGTTAATGGCACCTTTCTGTCAGCCACTATTTATCAAGGATCCTAAAACGTGAACTCAAATTCAATTAAAAGCTCTTTATTTATATTTTCATTGCCTTGATGTGAGGTCAAAGATCAATTTCAAAGTTTCTTTATAAATACGCTAGATGAAAGAAAAATGAAAAGAAAAATAATAATTTTCACAATGTGGCAACTGATTGAAAGTATGGGAAAAATACTTAAAATTCCACAACAATAATATGAGAACATTTGGGGGGGACCTAGATATTTAAAAATTATTTTTAAATATAAAGTGAGTGAAGTTCGGAGGCAGCAATTCCAATTTTTAAAAAATATTAACATTTTTTGTGAGAATGGTAGTGAGGAAAAGAGAGTATACCCAAGTGGAAGCAAGGCATAGAGAGGATGGGCAAGATGGATACAATAGAATAGATACAAGTACATGCCATGGCAGGGCAGGAATAAATGGAATACCTCTTCCTGTCTAATAAATTATTGTGATAAATACGCAAGGTACTTATGCTAGTAATACATAATAATTGACATGGAAGGAATCAAATACAAACTAATTATACTTACTCAAGTTTCACGTCATTTTTGAGCAGTGATGATGAACATTTAACATTATCTGGAAAAATGATGAAGTCCATTTTCTTCACAACAATATTATGCACTGCACAGTGCATCACACTTATTGGATAACGTGAAAATGAAAATCGCACATCTAGTTGTAGATTTCCCGAAAAGAAACGGTGGTAAAATCTGCGAAATAAATAAAACAATTAGTTATTTAATTAAATTTAATTAAAATCTCAATACAGAGGTTCATAAAGAGTGTACAAAAATTGTTTATAGATGACAATAGAAAGAGGAACTGAATTAATAATTAAAGAATAATTATGAATTATTTTATTTTATTTAAAAGAAAAGAAAATTAACATAGGACAGAAAGAATCCTTGGAACATTTGAGACAATCAATTCTAGTTCTTCCTTGCAAAGGAGACAATGTATTGTACCTGATCACATATTATACGAAAATTCGTACAAGCATTTCACAATGTAATTAGCCACATCATCTTCGGTACTTTAAAATAAATTACCCCGTTTCAATATTATAAATAAAAATTGCAGACTTGAATATAAAATTGAAAAATTAAAATGATTGCAGAAGTTGAGAACACTGTCTCCACTTACATACGAAATAAAAATTATTACAAATTTAAAACTGAAGACAAGTTAAAAACAATATGAAGTCAAGAATGTTAAGTGAAGTACCTTCAAGCAAGTTGTGGATGGAGAGGGGCATAGAGGCAGGAATGAGGACAGCAAAGTGTGGGGATACATAATTTCAGAGAAAGGACATAAATAAGTTAAGGAGAGGCAAAAAGAACTGAGGCTTAAAATCATAAATGTAGACCAAAAAAGGCATAGGAAAAAAGGCATAGGCAAAAGAAAATAAGAATTCAAGCAAACATTTGAATTATGAATCACTCAAATGTACTTCAATATTTATAAAATAGTATCATAGGCTTTCTTAAAAATGTTTTTACTTATAATTTTTTATTTATATATAAATTATTATTAAAATTTTAGTTTCCACAACGGTATTTATGGAATATTAGTATTTAGCGTAGTCTCATCGAGTAAAGGTATTTTCTAGCTTCCGCAAATAAAATCACAGGGCTTTAGAAATCAAAAACATGTGATTTATTTAGCCAATGGCAGGAAATGAATTCAATTTTGAAGTGAAATCTTTAATATTATTCTCATGCACCTTTAATTTCCATTTCAGGCATTGCCTTTTAGTTTCACCTCTACATGTTACAGGCAAATCTAAACAAGAAATAGAAGAAAACAATATTTTCCCCTCTCTAAACAGGGAACAGAGTCCTTGGTATTCTCGATTAGTTCTTTTTTATTAATCAAGGTTTTTCTAGTTCTGATTTGAATTTTTGATCTTCTAAATTCGTTCCAAAACTTGTTTAAAATCTTAGAAGTAAACGGAACCATAATAGTTTTTATTGCTCCTGACTATTATCATCTTAGACTAATCTAATCTTGAACATCAACAAATTCACCAACTACCTGATTTATCATGAAGTCAATGTCATATCACTGATCGTAGCTAATCGCTTTTCTAAGAATTTGTTAGTAGACTCAAAAAGATAATAATGTTCTTTCAGAATTTCCCTCATTATTTAAATTGGATTCAGGTTTAGAAATGTCAGAAAACGTCTGATCGACAATAACAAAAATAATCGTTAACTTTTACTGAACAGGTTGGGCAGAATATTAATTTAAGGTTCTTCCATAAGAACTACTTCCTTTGTACCTTATAGTTCAAATCCAGACCCCTTGTAAGTTAAAGTACAAGGTAGAATGTTACATGGACTTTTAAGGGCGAAACAATCTACGTACGCCTTCCTTTGAAGGGGAAATAAAGCACGCTGACCCATGTTGTAGATTTGCTGCATTTAAAAATCCTCAAGCCTAAAAGAAGCCTCTGAGTTAAATTCAAATTGCTTCTTTTGTTGTCTGAGAGATACCTCCTTGTTGGCAAGATAGTGAATGGAGCGTAACGAAATTTGTGTGGTCAGACGGAAGGCCAGGCCTGATGGCCTGAGTCTTACCACATAAAATAAGACACCATTGAAAATGAATTGAAAATATTCTCAGAATCACACATCATCACCCATCAGCTGAACATTAATTTCTATCCTGCTCTGCAGTTCTGTGTAGTACTAAATAGTACATTGTAGTTTGTGTGTAATGAGAGAATGTAAGAGTTTTTGTAAAGCTCACTTATTCTCACATAATTAACTCAAATTCCACAGCCAGGGCCCTAAGAAATTGTCCATCCATGAGAGCTCCTAGGCTCAAACTATTTCAATGTACAAATTTACAAGAAAGCGTAATGTGTGATGAATTGTAGTTAACAATGAACACTACAAAAACAAAAAATGATGTAGAAGAGAAACAAATTTTTGATAATTCTGAAAGGTAATCTTACAGAGGATTCAGATATTCAATAAAAATAAAGAAATCTTCCATATACAAGATAAAATGATTGATGCTTTTATTACCAGTGCCTTGGTAAGTACTCACTTTCCCGAATATGAGTCATAACTGATGTAAAATGACTTACTCTGGATTGAAGTGGCTGATTATAATTGACTCATCAAGAACATCTACAATTTGACCTTCATATTCTACCTCTTCAGTCCTACCATCTTCTTGCCTCACACGGCAATAAATGAGATCTCTTTTCAGCAAAGAAGGGCGTTTCTCTGCAAGCCCTGGAACCTGTAACAAAAAATATATTAAAGAAATTTTTTTATAAAAAACATGTAAAAAAAGTAATATTAAAAAAAAAGTTACTTAATTCTTTATTAATAAAATTTGAAAAACATGCAAAAAATATTGAATTTTATGAATATTAACAAAAATGTATATCACAATAAATTTATTCATATCTTATTACTTAATGTAAAAAATTATATTATATCAAGGCCCAGATTTTGATGGTCTGAAGATAACTTACACTTAAATATTGGCAAAAGTATCCAGTTTGACAAACTAAAAATTTGAAGAAAATATGATTTACTCATTTAAAATGTAAGAATTGTTTTAACTGTCAACACGAACTGCAACATGTAATGAATGCCGTGTAGTGAACCTCTGTAAAGTCCATCATTCTGTTTAACAATGAACATAACTAAAATGGTTTGCTCATGTTCTTCAGGAACTCTTAAAATTATTTACACGTACAATATTTAACAATTAAAGAAATCTTACATGTTCTTATGACTGCAATATATTATTTCAAGTCCAATACAGATGTCAAGGCACCTACGATTATAATGCATTAATTAAAGGATAATTCACGAAAATCTGAGACCCTGACAAACACATTACTAAGATATATCTAAGAAGTGAAAATGTTCAAATACACAATCAATATTTTCAAGCATACATCATTTATATCCAGAAAATTACCGACATTTACCTTGGTACAATAACAGTATTCCTAAAAAATAACAATCTTAACTCTGTACATTTTCCCATGCTTCTTAAAACAAAAATTGAAACTGCTTTTAGTAACTTTCTTATACAGTCATAACATGCCAGACAAAAAATTCTTTTCAAGTTCAAAAACTCCCATTATACAATGTAGAATAGATAAATAGATACATGCTAAAGAATGCTTTAAGTAAACAAATCTTTAAGAACAAAAGCCAATTAACAAGGTATTTCAAAACTTAATAAATGCAACATTCAAAATACATGTCACGATTTCACAGATCTTACTTTCAGTTCCAGTCGACCAGGAGTAATAGAAGGATGTAATGCAACCCCACGCATGTTGTAGCGATTCACGTGCAACAGTGCATCAAATTCTTCCAGATAGAGCAACATATGCATGATGAATTCATAATTCTCAAGATCAAGGTTTTCGTAACCTTTTAGTGCAATATCCCTGTAGAAAGAATTTTTCTATACCAATTGGTCTTTTATTAATGGCCATTTATCCCATAAAACTGTGACATTTCCACATTTAAAATCATTGTCAATAAAAATATAAATTGTAGGATTGATGTATTATGTGTAATTTAATAGTTATCTTTGTAACAATAGGCTTTATAACCAGAAAAAAGACAAAAAGAATGAAACATTGAAGAAAAGAAGGAGTTTCTTTTCTTATTTGGGAGACAGTGGAAAATGTTACAATTTCTGAGTTTCAATGAATTACAATTCTTTAAGAATAGCAAATTTGTCAAGAGCGTAATGTAAAAAAAGGTTTCCAAACATATTTAAGAGGGACTGGAATAAAGATTTCACTATCAGTAGCTCACAATCTTAAAAGGTAATTAGACTTGCTCCTGAATGTAAATTACATAACTCGTATTACAGTTATCATTTAATAACAGGCTGAGTGAGTCTGCGGTTCATTTTACATGGCAGGTTAGGAGGAAAAACATTCAGGAAATCAAGATCTTGAAATTCATCAACTTGGTCATTTATACATTAAAATGACCAATAACACAGTAGCCTTCCCAATTGACTACTTTATCACTTTATCTTTTACATTATACTCAGCAGAAACAAAACAGAAAATATTCATAGTCTCAGACAATGCATTATAATCTGTAGATTATGTATGGTTATTGAACACATATTTATGCACTGTCACACCATGCAAAGAACATTTTGCTGGGGCACTAAAAGAGGGTACTACTACAAACAAACAACAGAACTCAAGCTCTTCATGAAGTGTGGAAATTACAGCAATTGGGGATTGTGGAATGAAACAGTAAATAGCTGTCTTTATCAGAGTTGTTTTGTTGGACACAGCTTTGATTTCTCTATGAGTCAACAGGCAATGATAGGATTTCAGATAGGGGTCATTGAAGCTCTAGAAAAATATGAATGTAAAAGTCCAGTGATTTTTGTCAGCATGCACAATTTAAAATATGTTTTATATTACAAAAAAATAATTAATAACAAAAACAATTAAAATAAATTTTCAGTTTTATATTAAAAATATTTATAATTATGTTAGAATCATAGTATTATACATTTTATTTAATTTAACAAGAACAGTACACTTAAAAATATTCTTAGTCTTCTCATATAGGTGTAGTCTCCAGTTGACATAATTTAGAAATCAAAATTATTTCCTTTAAATGTTCACATGAATAGAATTTATTTTTGACACTAGTTACACAGACAACCACATTAATTTACATTTTAATAGTGTGCCAAATTGAAATACAAATAAAATTGTAGAATATATTTATTAATCATTTATTTAGAATCATTTGAAGATTAAACTCGCTACATAATTAAATCAGAATCAGCAGAAATACAAATAATTAAAAAGGTTAATGTTTCTTTTTAAATTTGTAACAACTGAAAAAGTGAATTTGTGTCATCAGTTTAGGAAAGGGGATGGGGAGGAGAAGAAAAAACCTCATGGGCATAAGTGCATCAATGGAATCGTATTAAAATTTCGATTGCAATCCAATAAGATGGAATGTATGCAAGAACTGAATGAATAGCAAAAGCAAAAAGATCTGAGCTGTTATGTTCATAAAAATATGATATGAAATTCTTCAAAACAAACAAAATAACATTAAAAATAGATATATCAACATATTGCAAGAAAAGAGATTGTATTTAAGGTAAGTGCCCATATTAAAACAGATTTATATTGTGAAATTATTTTTAGAGACATTATTATTTATGTATTTATGGTTATATCAAGATTACATTACTTTCACACATTTACGTTAAAATGAGCTGTTAGAAATCTTCACAAAGCAAGATAAAAATATATTTCTGATCACATAAAAAACACTGAATTATGAGATTAGCATTTGGACTTTATTAAAAGGCAAGGCAAGGTAAGCAAAAGTTTTACAAGGAACAAAATACACATGGCAATGACTGTTAGAAATGAGATTCTATGTAACATTGAATTGAATTCTCCTCAGGTTGAAGAGTATGTCAACCAAGAAATATCTATATATAGAGTTGATAAAGTACAAAAAGGATGACTTTTAATATCAGCAGTATTTAAAAGAAAGGCTTCTGTGGCTGGAGTCAACAGAATCTCATTGTCTGGGAAATACAAATTGCTCTAACCCTTTGTTGGCCAAAAAAATAACCATCCAACATAACACAAGGCATCATAACATTGTGCCACTGACTTCCAGCTGGGAGGATTTAGCTAGGAGGCTATAAGTAGGAGGGCATTTCTTAGATTCCATTCCATAATCTAATCAGAGGGAATCTCAGAGATGCCAGCTGCTTTTTGTTCAAATTTCCAGTAAGATCTCAATCAACAATACGACAGCAACCTGAATCATAAATCAATGATTTTTTGAAACAAATGCAGAGGCTCTATGATTAAAAATATTTTGCCTCACTCATTCTCGTCATTGTATTAGAAGACTGCTTCTTCCATATTGGTTCCCCACCCAGGTGAATTTTTGGTGCCATTTAAAAACCCCCAAAAGTCAAGAAAGATTACAATGTAAACATGTTATCTGTATGCATTAATATCTATGTTGAAAACAAAATATATCTTAATTCTTGAATACTACTTATGTAGTAAAGTAGCAGTAAAAAACAATGATTTCTTTGACAGATAAACTCATATTGAAGGTCCCTGATGCTAATAAAGTGGATAATTGTTACTCCTATAAATAACTTTATATAACACATCGTGTAGTGAGAATCTGTTTGTGGGCCAATGATACAGAAAAAATTGTTTACAGAAAAAAGGTCCAGCTGTCTGACTGCCTGCCCTGAACAACAAAAGGGCTAAGCCCTAAGTAGGATTTTAACCAAAATTTATATTAATCGCACATCTTTTCTTGAACCTTGCTTCCCCTTCCCCCTGCTTCCCCCTCTCGAGCACAAACAATTGAAGGCAAAAGCTTGAAGCAAGCACTGATGACCACATTCCAAACATATCTTCACTGTCACGAAATAGAAACTTTTTTTTATGTTGGAGACAAGAACTTATGTATGTGATTTTCTCCAAAAAATTAAAGAAATGACTGAAGCAGGTGAAGATTCATTTCAAGAGATATCTCAAACTCCTGAGAAAGTTAGAACTCAAATTACTGAGAAAATTACAAAGGCATGACTGATTCTCCAGAGATTGGCAATGCTTCACTAAATCTAGTGGCCAATTTCATAACTAATACCCCACTCTACTCACATTTCTTCAATCCATCGTTGAAGAAAAGTTGCGCGAGTAATACTACTCAATCGATCTGGGTAACATTGTAGTCCCTTAAATACGAAATATATTTTCATTGGGGCTACAAACAGTACATAAAGTCTTGACATTTTAAATTTTCATCAAAACGGCTCCAAATTTTTGCATTACATTTTTGATTGTTTAAAGCAAAGTGAACTTCTAAAAATGACTTGTAAAATTACTGTTCAATTCTTGAAAATATAAAATTTTTGGGGGGCATCTTTTTTCTAAAACTACCATACTGAAGATTTTTCCTTAATAAAATATGTTCTTCAAAATAAGATATTTAAATTTTGAGTTGAATCTGCTGCGTCACCTTCTTACAGAAACTAAAATACCAACTGCTGCCAACGATACTTAAAACATGCGTTGCTGCTGCATAAGTTTGCAGGTCACAGTCAGGTCCAAAATGTTACAAAAGCACCGACGTCCACGCTTTCATCAGGAGTTTCTTATATGTGTATATTATGAATAATTGAATATTAAAAGACACTTTTCCTATTTCTCACAAATTAACTAATTTTTATGTGTGGAAGTTGGAGAGCCTAATCTGCAGCTGTACTCGGTGACACTAGCGTCTCCTAAAGTAGCACCCTCGAGCTTTGTCCCCGGTTTTGATGGTGAGTTGCAAGGCCCTGATTTAACTCCTATAAGTCACCTGAGCATTTTCCTATGTCATCTCAGAGACATTTCCTGACCTGAATGACAATATGCTCGTTAGAGGCACAAGAGCTGAAAAATTATTTCTTGATGTTATCTCAAGCATGCCTTATGAGGACAAGAAGTTAAGATCTTACTATGATTACTGAAATATTGGCAAGCCTGTCTAGGCCACACAGTCTTGGCACTCAAAATTTTATTGATTTATAATTTGGTGAAGAAAAATTAAATTTTACTTTGAAACAAATCTCTTTTGGTATTGGGTGTTTCCTAGTTCTGTACCAAAACAAATGTCCCTAGCTAATTGAAGTAATTCGATGCATTACTCATGGGTCAACACATTTTTGGCAACAACAAAATTGTGAGGCATTTACAATTGCTGGATGACCTGTACACTACTTCTCATAGCTAATAATTCAGTATTACTAGACTTTTATACGTAGTCTAAACGCCAGAGATACAAACATGCTTCGTTGCTCTCGTAATGCTCTAGTGGTTCAGTGTGAAGTCACTTGCCTTTCACCACTGAGGTTCTGGGTTAAATTCCCATAGTATCCCCGTAGAACCTCATATGAAATTTGTTATTACAAATCTACTTTGCATGCTTCAGAGGCTAGTGAAAAACCTAGACTCTAAACTTTACCTCTATCCTTATTCTTTCTCAATTCTGGCCTCTGGGTAGTGACGTAAGAGAGGCGCATATATGGAGATGCTATATGGCGGTTATCTTGACAACTGACCAAGACGAGACGTAACGAACTATATTATTTAATGGAGGATTACTCCTGTGCAATAGTTAATGGAGAATTTCTCACAAGCGCGATGCGCTCAACGCCCCTCAAGGGGCTTAGAGAGGCGTTGCCTCTAAGTTCTCTAAGTTGGCACAACAAATTTTAAAAAATCATATCTTGTCGAGTACTAAGTACTTAGAGTACCTAAGAAATGTTTTTAAGTATTACAGTATAATCATAAAAGCCAAAATTGCACTACAGCACAGGTATACTTACAACACAGTGGTAAGGAGATTCATATCATCACGGGTGATGCCATCCCAGGGAAGAAGCCAGTGTTCCAATAGCTGATAGTACTGCTCTGGAATTTCAAATGGGGTGTCAAACTTTAGCGGTTTCCTGAAAACAGACAATTGTGGATTAAAGATGATATGGAAACCCAAAAGAAGGAAAATAGACAGAGTAGGACTACTATACATTTATTTTTATACTGACATACAATACGAAGGTTGCCTTTTATGTTTCGGGATTTGGCAACCTTGGTGTTGCAATCTGGCAACTGACAGCTCTATCGTGAAGTTGGATGTTTTGAGCTTATACGTACCCAGAACATTTTGACATACGAGCACTATTTGTGCTGTTTACAGTAACTTAAAATATTCATCTTGGCCCAAAAATTGAATTAAATCGTGAACATTTTCGTGCGATTATTTTTTACAACTTTAGATCTGGATTAACTCAGCAACAGTGCATGGATGAACTGAATTCAATTTTTGGCGATGAAGTTCCATCAAGGACCAGTGTTTATCGATGGTATTGTGAATTCAATCGTGGTCGTAGTTCACTCCAAGACGCATTTTGCGAAGGTTGTCCAAAATCAGTTGTTTCGAAAACCATTGATGCTGTGCGTGAACTGATATTGCAAGATCATCATGTGACCTATCGTGAGATTGAGACAATCTTAAGCATTAGTGAGACCAGCATACACATTCAATATTGCATGAACATTTGACTGTAAAAAAAAGTTTGTGTCGATTGGTCGAGAGAAATGCTCAAAAAATACGATTGCAGTGCATCGAAACACGTCTATGACTTCATGACAGGTGAGGAATCGTGGATTTACGCGTATGAGCTCAAAAGTAAACAACAGTTGACTGTATGGGTGTTTCAAGATGAGCAAAATCCAACAAAAGTTGTTCGTGCACGAAGCAGTTCCAAACAGATGGTTGCCTGTTTTTTCGGAAAAACTGGACATGTCGCAACCATACCACTAGAACAGTCAATTCTGAGTGGTACCCAATGATTTGTTTGTCAGCTGTCTTCCAAGAAATCAGGAAAACCAACCGCCAAAGACGGATCACTCCTCACCATGACAATACGAGCTCTCACACATCGGCTCAAACAACTGCATTTTTGAGCACCCAAAACATTGATTTGATGAGTTATCCACCATATAGTTCTGACTCTACACCAAATGACTTATTTTTATTTAAACAGAGGTCAACATTTTTCGACACTTGAAGAAGGGGTTGCTGCATTCAAAATGCATGTTTTGGAGATACCTCAATCAGAGTGGCAAAAGTGCTTCAACAATTGGTTCAAACCGCTGCACAGTGTTAGATCTCATGGGATATTTGAAAAACAGTGATTTTCGATGATTAATATTTGTTTTGTTCTCTAATCCTGCAAATATAAAGGCAACCCTCATATACTACAATGTGACAATAATTTCCGCAAATTAATTCTTAATACTGTATTTACCAAGTTGATACGACAATAGCTGTAAGGATATAAAATATTTGCTTTTTATTAATACCCTTATATGTGTAATCCCTGCGAATGTGCCAGGCAATTCAGATCAATATTTTAGAATGGGTTGGTAAAAAGATAATCACAAACAAATGGCAAAGTAGTAAGTGTAAAGCTATGTGAAAACAAAAGTTGTTGTTGATATTTTGTTATGATGAACTTGTCAACGAAGCCACCAGTCCTCTTCAATTCAATGCCCAGTGAAATTGCAGTTTGCAAGAAATTGAGGAAAAAAAAGAAGATAGAGAGAGAGAGAGAGAGAAAAAGAAAAAAAAGTTGCTTTGATAGATAGGCAATTTGCAATTATATTTTGCCGAAATAGAAAGAATTAGTTTAAATTTTAAAAAATCCAGGAGTCGTCTTCGTAGTTAGGAGGTCATCTTTTTTTCAGGTAAGAACAGTATACCGTATTTACTCAAATATAAGCCCAAATATAAACCCAAGAAATAATGAACGAAATAAAGAAAAAAATGGAAATTTATCTATTTAAACGTAAGAAATACATTTGATGCTTAACGCAATCAGACAACTGATTTCTATGCATTTTTGAGATTTTACTTAGACGCTGTCATCTGATGACTCGGATTCCTCACTTCACTGTTTGTCACTTTTGGCCATGAATAGGTCATCTTCGCTGCCAACAAGGGCATTTGAGATTAAACACTTTTTAAATACCCTAGCAACAACTTCTCTAGGAATCTTTCAGGGATCATCTATCCCTGCGCACACTTGCAATAGAATAGGCCGTTTCACACGCCCAAGGGCATGAGCATTCTGTCTTCTTTGGAGAGCCAGTCTGAGTAAATTTTCTTCAACCTGTCCTAGAATGTTTTGTTGACGCACACATCCAGGGGTTGAAGTATTGATATTTGTCCACCTGGAATATTTGCCAAGTCGGTTCCCTGATACGTTCTACTGTAACGGCTGCGTGGCCAACAAAAAATAGTTATCTTTGCAGATGACTGGTGCCAACTACGTTATAGCAACATGATGATACTGATTCTATGCAGAGGGACAATTTTTGAACTACAAAAAAGAGAAAAAAAATGTTGGCTTACAATCGGGTAAATACTGTATACGTTTCTTTGCTTTCAATGCCTGGAAAACTTAAACGGCTTATTCTGTACCGACAACATGGCTGATCACTGCCCATGAAGTTTTGCAAGTGCCTTGAAGAGACTTACCCTTTATCAGTTACTCCTTCTATGCGATACTTCACGTTGGTCCAAACATCTCCTCGGAAAGGGCTCTCCTCCACCTCCATCTCTGGGAACTCATTGCTTCGCACTTTCACGACCTGATTAGAGAGCAAATTCATTTGGTAATGGTTATGTCACACTGTCACATCTATTAAAAAATGCATAGTAAACATAAACAATATCAGAAGAGAAATAGAAAGCTAGTTTCTTGCCTATATCTTTCCTTAACAGTGTGTGCAAGGGTGTGTGTGAATATAAGTGTGGGTGTATAAAACTTAATTTTGTACTGATATGAAAATTTTGAGGCAAAGAAGAATGAGTAAAAATAAAATACTTAAATGGAGAGACTTGCTCTTAAAATTCAAAGTGCAATAGTTTTAGCAATTTTGGAAGCTCGGCTTGGAGTTAAAGAATTGTAAAGAGAGCTCCATCTTCAATGAAAATAGGTTCATCATCATCATCATCATCATCATGAACTGCAGGCGTTTAGGTATTTTTGTCCTGATTCAGTCGACCTAGTAGATCCATCTTCTAGGTTTCCTGATTTTTCCACCTCTTTAAAGGTCTTCCAATGTCTATTTCCAATTGGTTTATATTTCCAGATGAGTTTTGGTAGTATGTCCTCCATCCTGCAAATGTGTTCTTTCCATCTCTTTTGTGATTCTTCAGTCCCATCTATTAGATTTTTGGTTTTTAGTTTTCTTCTGATGTCCTTGTTTCTCAACCTGACTGTTCTCATGATTCCTCCTCCGCAATTCTAAGAGGTGCCATAGGAATGTCATTGCTGCTTGTATTTTCTGCTTGTTCTCCTTCATTATCCACATTTCTGAACCGCATAAAAGCATTGGTTTAGCTGTGATGTTATGAAGTTTCAATTTTGTTGTAGATTCCATATCGTTTCCTGTCTTTTAAAACACGTTTCACACATTCTGTAGTAATTATGTAATTTTCTCTTGATGTGGTTTAATACATTGATTCTGTTTCCTAGGTAAGCAAATTCTCTTACTTGCCCTACTATTTCCCCATTTATTTCAATTTTCACTCTTCTTCTTCTTTCCTAGCATTGCCATAGATTTTGTTTTGCTTACTGATATTTTCATGGAATATTCCTATGCTACTTTTGATTGTTTGAAAATTGGCCTCTGTAAATTGTCTCCGGGTTCTGCTGGTTATCTGTGTACTGGATTGTGTCAATTGTTCTATCTCCTTTGATTAAAATTCCTTTGTTCACCTTCCACCAATTCCTTATGAAGTGCTTAATACAGATATTGAAGAGAACTCGTGATAAACCACACTCTTGCTGGAGGCCACTACTAGTTTGTAATTGATGTCAAGTTTCTTCCTTCCCTAATTGTACTTTTATTCTGGATTTCTCATTAAGGCTTTGTTCTGCTATATTGCCAAATTTTATTGAAAACTTCAAGTAGTGTTTCATTTAGTATCTTTCCCCTACATCTTATTAGTTTTAAATTTATCATCTGATCCTGTTTTTTTTTCTTCTGCTTTTTCTTTTCTTAATACTGTTTCAAGTTCTGACATTCTTATTAGGTTATTTGTGTGATTGTCAATGCATGCCTGTTCTGTTTCTTTTTCCTTCTTGTCGACACAACCTTCTTTGTTCCAAAGTGTGCGGTAGTATTTGATCCTATCTTCTTCTGGGATGTTGTTCAGCGAGATTGTATCTTTTGTATTCATATTAAGATGTTTCATAATTTTGAACCCTATTCTCTGAGGACCTATGATGTCTCTCTAGACCTTTAATATATGCTCTCTAATTCCCTCTTCTGTAACTTTGGCTAAGTTCTCTTACTTTCTTGAATTCTATGTAAAGTTTTAATGTTTGTTTTTGCAGGTAGCTCCTGTAAACTTGTTTCTTCTGGACTATTATTTCTTTAATTTCACTGTCCCATTTCCTCAATCAATTCTTCTTCTTCCAAGGTTTTATCAGCATGCTTTCCTTTCCTGTATCAAATATTGCTTGTATAATTGAATTCCAGAGTGGTTCAATATCTTCTTTATTGTCTGCAATTTGTCTTCTAGTATTCATTCATACAAGTTTCTAATGCTTTGATCCTCTAGCAGATATACTTTGAGCTTGTGGGATAATTTTCTCTCCTTTCTTCTATTTTCAGCTCGAGAGTTCAGTTGAATTTTGATTCTTAAGAAATGATCAGAATCAATTTCGCTTCCCTGAAACGCTTTTTTTTCTTGACTTTATTGAATATGTTTTCACTGACAATTATATAATCAATAATACATTTATTGCCTCTTGTCTCTCATGTGAATTTATGTTTTTTGTTTTGTTTAAAGAAGCTAGGTTGATGAACAAATTGAAGTTTATAAATATTTTCATGTTTTCTATGAGTGTCTCTCTCCTTTGTGTCCTTTGCACGAAGGCATTTCAGTTTCTTCAATTCTGGCATTGAGATTTCCCAATATGATAAGGAATTCCTCCTTTTTGGTCATATCTACCAATTTCCGTAGCTCAATATAAAAGCTTATTGTTTCTTCTCACCTTCCCTCTACTATTGGTGCATATACTCCTATTAAATTCAACATGTGAATTCCTATTCTTATTCTAATTGTTATTAGCCTTGGAGTTATACAAATACAATCTTCTATGTTATTCCTCCATTCCTTCATGATTAGCCGTGCTACTCCTGTTGCAGCATGTTCTTGTTCTTCAACACCTGAGTAAATTAGATAGTGATCTTATAGTTCCTTTGCCCCTTTACTCTTCTTTTTTGTTTCTGAAATAACAGTTAAATCTAAATTCCTGCTTTTCATTTTTAAATTAAGTTGTTCTTCTTTATATGTGATTCCTCTCACATTCCATATTGCCACTCTCTAACTGCTATTTTATTCATAGCCTTCTTTTTGTAAACTGATACCTTCTTGCCTTCTGTAAGGTCTACAAAAGGGCAGTTTTAATAAACCTTGGGGACAGAATTCTTCTTCTTCCATCCACGGTGCCTCTTCTATTGGTGTTCCTGATTTGAATGCTTTATTATACTCCTTTGTGGTTAATTGTTCACATCTGATATCTTCTTCTGTTCTTTTTCCTTTGAGGTATTTTATAATATCTTCTGTTTCAGTGCTTTATTAGATACTTGCCTATGTACGTCCATCTGTATTTTCTTCCTGATTTCAATCCTTGTTCTTTATTGATACCAATTATTATTTCACCTTCATAACCCTTCTTTGCTTTAACATTTTGAACTGGCTCTGTAGTTTCTGTTTGTAATGACTCTTCCTATGATTGCTGTTTCTATTGTTTCTCATATCTGATCCACATCTTCTGGCTGGTTTACGTCTGCTTGATTGTACTGTGTGTTTTTTTTGGGCGATATTTGTTTGCTTCCTTCGCTTTCTCCCTCCCTCCTTTTGTATCTTCTTTCTTGTTTCCTATCCTCAGGACACTTTCTTGTGTCCCTTGTTCTGTTTTGGGTCCTCTTTTCCTTCCATTTTCCTCTCTTTTCTGTTTTTTCCGCAAGTTGTACATTACTTCTTTAATTTCAGAGCTCATCCAATATTTCAGTTCCTTTTCTAAATGGGATATTGCTTTATAGACCTCTTCAAATTTTTTTTAGCATGTTCGACTCTTTTGCAATTTTAGTGTTCCGGCATTCCTGTGGTAGATATGTTGGCCTTTGTAGTATTTTCATTTCATTTTCTGTCACTTCTGTGCATTTTTAGTGAAACCTTTTCCTACACTCTGCATTTTATTTTTATGCTTTGTATATTCTCTTTACATACACTACATGTTGATTTTACCCGTGTTGTGGTAGTTCCTATTTTCTGCATTTGGCATACTGCTCTCCTTGTTCACTTCAGTCGCCTCTGTTTTTCTCTTTGGTCTATTACTTTACCTTAATTCTTTATATTCTTAGTTTATATTAATTGAAAATAAGTTCAGAATTAAATTGTATTACGAAGAATGGCTTAAGTCTTTCTTACATTTTTAAATTTCCATTAGGGATTTTAAATTTCCAGTCAGACTCAAGACAATATTCACTTGCTAATCAACTTCTAGCCAACATTTCACATTCCTCTTGAATTAATTTTATTTTGTAGTATGTAGTGCAAACAATTAATCACAATTTTCATGATAAAGCCCAAAGAATAAATATTTATTTACTGCATTCATCCAGATATAAGACTAGGTTTTTCCTAAATATATATTTCATCCAAAAAATACAGAATCATCTTATATTTGTAAATTAAGCCTAGTTGCAAAGTCTTTCAATGCCATGAAACTCAAATGCTGACATAACAATAAGTTGCAAAGGCAATACCTATCATGCATATCTATAATACACAAATATATTAGGGCACATATTCTATGTATCATCTATCAATTTGCCAAGAGATCGAGAACAAAATTTGAAATTTGGATATTAAAGAGAGAATCTTGAACAGATGGCTGTGTGGTAATTGAAATGCAAAGATAGTGGCAGGTAACATGCAGAGCTAGCAATTCTCACTACAGAAAAAGCATAATTTGAGACAATACAACAATGTATTTTTGGAAGATTTTCAAATTGGCAACTGATAGAATTAATTCTATGAACTTTTATCTCAAAATTTGTTTGGATGGTAGCAGATTTGGGCCAGCACATCTCTTGAGTTAATGCTTTATAATTCAAAGAACTGACTATTTAATTCAAAAACATTCAAAAGAACAGAACTATGTGAATATGCTTTCAGAAAGTTGAAAAAGTATGAGGCACTCTGAACACCTAACCCTTTTTAAACCATTAAAAATGGAACGCATTTCATATTTTGAAGTTAGGAGAGTCTAGATATAACACATTATTTTGAGAGAAGAACTCTTCACTAACATGTAACAGTAACTAATTCAAAATTGTGGGATGCATTACACCTATGGACCTACAAAGGCTTATGGTGGTCTTCTTGAAAAGTACTGGTCCACACAGTATTTCAATTGATTTAACTTTAACTATAGCATGTCATAAGTTCAGTCTCAAAAATATTTTTTTTAGTTAACACACCTATGATTAAATTTAATAATTTATATAAATACTTACAATAACCCTCACAATATCGAAATCTTTCTCTTCACCATCTTTTGTACGTATGAATTTGAAAGATACTGGAACACCATAAGTACCTCTCCCATGATTTGTGAATTTAACTTGAACATTGTAACAACATGCTGCAACAAGAAGCAATTAATTAGAAAAATTATTTTTCAGTGTCACCAGGATGATCAGATTAATGTTTGAAGGGTCCTCCTAAGCATGACGAAACAATGAGACCTCCCCCCCCATAAAAAACAATATGCTAATTTGTAGCCAGGAAATAGCACTTTTTCAACACAGTGGCTTTCAGTTTTTTCATTTAGAAAGGACCAAAATTATTCAATTAAACCTTGAATCAAAAATTTCTGAATTGATTTCAAGACACCACTCCAAGAATTCATACCCCCATAATAAATTATAATTTTTAAAATGCATTTCAGGACCAAATAATTGCATGTATTAAATTAAATATATTCTATATACTTATTTGTGGAAATGCAATCAACCCTGGATAAGTGGGAAATTTGGATCAATGAGACTAAAATAACAAGTCTCAACAGTTTACATAAAGAAATCTCAATTGGTTAAGATTGCAAAACCTCTTTAACCTACACTGCTTTTCTATCCAAATTTTTCTGTGTGTGCTAACAGGGGACTTGACAGTCATGCTTTTCTCTACATTAGCATCTGCAATGTAGCTATTTTCCAAAATTTTCAGATGTTTCTACACTTTCTTCAATTCCTATTCATTTGTTCTAACTAATTAGTTGAAGGATAGCTGGCAGAACATGCATGAACATTCAATTCATTGAAGCATAATTTAAAATTTGTTGTCAGTGATTAAAGATACAGACTGAAGTGTGAACATGTGAAGGCAAGAGACATGTAATTTAGTATGTCAAATCAATTTTCTTTTAATATTAATTTTTTACTTTTCCTGTTCATGGAGAAACACTGTAATACATAACACGTTGCCTTCAATTAACTTTCTATTACTTTTTTGCTTAACATTCACTTAAGTAATCAACACAAATACAATTAAATTTTGCATAAAAGAATTCCTGTATGTGAGATAAACATTTTTTGATTTTGAGTAACAGAAACACTGGTTAAGCGAGACACTTCTTTACGGAAGAACAAAATTTCTCTCCTTTAAAATCACAATAAACTAGGCATATAGACAGATAGATGGGCGGGCGGGCGCCGGACAAACGGATGGACGGAAGATTTTGTGTGAGTGCGCGAGCGTGTGTGTGTGTGCGCGAGCGCGCGCGCGCGTGTGTGTGTGTGTGTGTGTGTGTGTGTGTGTGCGCGCGCGAGCGTGTGTGCGTGTGCGAGCGTGTGTGCGTGTGCGAGCATCTGTGCGTGTGCGAGCGTGTGCGTGTGCACACACGCGCTGGTAAGTATTTTGTGTTTTTTTTTTTTTTTTTTTTTTTTTTTTTTTTTTTGGGGGGGGGGGGGGTAGGTGGAAATCTTCAAAAGACACTGGGTAGCCCATATTACACAGCGTGTAAGATTTTTACTAACTTAAATCGTAACTGCCTTCTCCTCCACCCTCTCCGCGGGCCTACAGGAATTACATCGCGGAGAGTGGAGCAGTCGCACAGAGTTAAGTCAAATGAGCGAACAGAAATATCTCTCCTTCCTTTATCTATGCGTCCAAGTCCAACAACATGTCTTGTGCAAATTTTTACACACCAAACTCAAACTCTCTTCAGAAACAAGCATACATGCAACTATGTTTTCTGGAATCATCTATCCTACACCAAGTATCCCAGCAGTGAGTCGTCGTTGAGGTGGGAAACATAGGCACTGAAAAAACAGGAGTTCGGCATCCTCAACATCAGGTTCACATGCAGGACAATATGGAGAATCATTCAGATTGAATCTGTAAAGATAGGCCCTGAAGCAACCATAATCTGTTAGAAGCTGCACGAGGTAAAAATTTACCCCGCCGTGCTCTCGACTGATCCACGATTCAAAAGTAGGAATCAGTCAGAATGTCTGCCCATGTTCTCTTGGAGGCTGTGTCCCATCGCTGGTGCCATTCTGCTTCCTGTCTCTTTTGTCATAACGCCTCTGACATTCATGGGCTGAAATATCAAATGGGATCATCCCGGCTACATCACAAACTGCTTCATTGAAGGCTGTACACATGGACCAAACTGGTAAACCATTGAGCAGAAACTATGTAACGATGAAGGCAAGCTGCTATCTCTTTTCACGACAAGGCCCAGAAGTGTTTGGCATTAACCTTGTCAATACAGTGTTCACCACCACTGCTTTTATGCTGGAATAGTCCAAGTGATCTCTACAGAACAAGCGCATGACAATCATGATGCGATTTTGTGATTACAGACTTTGAGAGTGATGGATTCTCTCTTCCTTATGCTAGTTACACTGCTAGCAGCACTTCTGTCTTACGTTTGGCAAGCTGCAATCCTCCGGAATCCAGCCAACGACTAATGAAGGCCATTGGCTTCATTGCAAATATCCACTATCTCTTCTAAAAAATTTGTGATGACGACGATGGTAAAATCATCTGCAAAGCCTATGATCTTGGTTCCTTCTGGGAGTGAAAGCTGAAGAACCTCATCATACATGATAATCCAAAGTACAGGACCCAGCACCGAACCTTGTGGGAGGCCAAAAGTGATCTTACCATCTGTATTGTACACAAGAATTCATCGATTTAAATGTTCGGCCACTATTTTTCTCAGGTATGTAGGTACATTGATTTGATGGAGTGCCTTATGAATGTCATTCCATCTTACTGAGTTCAAAGCATAAGCATACTTAATGTCCAATGTTACGATTGCGTGTGTATGTGTGTATGAGTGAGTGTGCATGCGTGTGTACACATGTGCGTGCATTTAAGGGGAGGAGATAGGACAAGGAAGAAAAAGGTAAGTTTGCGTGTGGTCTGTGGCGCATTTGTTAGGGTTATGCTCTGGAATTTGCCTGATTAGAGCCGTGGAATTCTCCTCCAGATAGCGGTTGAATTGAACCTAGCAATCTAGCGTCAAAAATTCTAGTAGTGTCAGGACTTGAACCCTAGGATCTCCCAGTAGGAGGTAGTGCAGTGGCATCAGTTATGCCCTCAGCTACCTGAGCTGCTACAGATTCTTCTGAGGGCTATTTCTGTTTGATAAAACAGTTTAATAAGAAGTTAATTGTTGAACCCAGAATCGCAGATTCAAACCTTATCAAGCCATGGATTGTAAAGGGCGAAAACATCCTTCTTAAGCCTTCCTTTGAAGGGGTAGTAAGCCATACTGTAGATTGTAGATTTACTGCTTGTAAAATATCTTAAAACCTAAAATCCTCTAAGCTAAATTCAAACCACTTGTATTGTTGTCTAAGTGATATCTCCTTTCTCTGCCAAATGGCAAAAGGAGCTTAGCAAAATTTAAAAAAACATTAATTGACTGGTCAGTTGATTGCTTTATTTAAGAAGTGTTTGAGCCAACCATATTTTCATTGTTTCTGAACTAAATTGCCTTTTCTTTTGTACCCTAAAATTTAGAATCTGAGTAATCATGCTGCATCAGCACATCAGTTGGGATTAAAGTAAAAAGCTTACAGGAAAGCAGAACATGAAGAATTATAAGGATTAAAACTTAATACACGTCAAAGAATCACCTGGTTGAATGCGGACTCTATTTCCTTTAGAGTACACTTCATGCTCATCTGTTACAAGAAATACAGGATATGGATGCAGTAAGACAATACTGCGTAGTTCAATAGGAATATCACCTTGATTCACCAGTTCAAATTTGTAATCAAAAGTTTCAACACTAGGAAGAATCTGTAACAGAACATAAAACCATTAAAGATTCTGAGTCCTAGCAGTTCACGAGAATTAGCAAATACAAACTGAAATGATAATTATAGTTAAAGAAATGCTCATTTTTCCCTCTGCAAATGGAATAGAACTACAAACCTAAATAAACATATTTCATTTAAATCTCAATTTTTACTTTTACAAGCAAAATTACTTCAAAATCTCCTAGCAGTCAGCTACATACAACATAAGCCTGTCTATGGTGAAGCATCTAAAGAATTTAACCCTTAAATTCATTCTGGTAAGGAAATATTCTGTGATGTCCAAACTTGCATTGATTTTTCACTAATGATTGTGATAGCTTTTGGCAAATATGCAGTTTTAGCTGCTGACACACAATGAGAGTTACTAAAAACAATTAATTGAATTTACAATTTTCCTTGTAGCTTTTATGCTTGAAACTCCAATTGTGTACCACTGTACATTCTCACACAAGCAACAGAACTATAAGTGTTGAATTCTGCAACTTGTGGCAGGAACATTCAATGAATACGCAAAAAAGTGAAATGAAATTACACCAATGAAAAATGAAAGATTATTGTTTGATACACCAATTTGTTTCTTGTTAATAAATATTAATATTACTTTCATAAATAACAAAGGTTTCCCATTTGACAACGTTTATTCTTTTTAATTATCACAAATATTAGAAATATTTAGTGTTGCGCGCGCACACACACACATTATTTGTGCTCCAAAAGAATATAATAAATTATGGAACTTGACAGTTAACATAGTCATACTTAGTGAGCTAAGTGCAGTTCATTTTGAACAGGGGAGCAGCAGATTGGGGGACACTCAGGGCAGTCCAATTCCTCATTTCCCTAACCACTTTAACATGGCAGATTAGCTTAGAGTAACTTTCAGTTTGCTTCAGGAGCTACTACTTGATGTACGAATTACATACAATCGCATACTCATCTCAACTATAACTGAAAAAGAAATCAAGGCGAGTTTGACATGACAAGACTTTTCATGGAGACAAAAAAAAAAAACAACTAAGCTTCAGCATATTCATGTTGCCTCTGTCTATTGTGCATTCATCATGGTCACACACTCTGAAAATAATGTACTTTGTGATAATACTTTTAGAGGTGTTTTGAGGATTGCGATGTTAACTTAGCCTAGGACTTTGTCATTAATCTAGTATTTATGATATGACAATTTTAAAATAATATTTCATCACTAATTTGGTATTTTTAGAGAAAGACAAGCAATGAAATAAGCGTAGTTAACATGCCAAAACTTAAATTCTAATAAAACTTTTATTCTGAATAAACAAAATTGTGTGTTAAAGGTGATTTATGTTAAACAAAAGGCAGTAATAAATTAACAGCTTGTTATAGCTTTTAACATACCTAGAAATGTTAACAGTGTTAATACTGCAGAGGCCAAAAGTTAAAAATAGAGGCAGAGCATAGCGGAGCCGAGATTTTTAATAGCACTAACATTTCATGATGTGTTCAGCATTTTATCGATCACCATGAAATCTTATAATTTCTGGAAAAATTTACATTGCTGCAATAGTAAACAAATGTTTTCTGTTGCTGCAGGACGTTACTACGATATGATGGGATGTTGCTTATGATATATCAATTTAGACAATATTCCTATAGTGATTTCAGAAAGGATGGATGCAAATAATTCTCTTGAACTTAAAGAAATGACGTTTGATGAAGTTAGCACATCGACTTCCAGTGGTGACACTTTCAGATCATCAGTAAATATAATTACCAAAGAAGCATTTCATTTGGTGACATGCCAGGAAAGCGAGGTTAATTTACCTAATAAATTATTTTTTTTTCACTATTAAAGTAAGAATAATTATCTCCAAAACTAATACGAGTTATTTTTATGCTGAATTATTTGAATCTGATTTGTACAAAATATTGCTAGTAGTTGTTTTTTTTTAATTTTTATTTATACTAATCATTTGACTTGCGATGATTTGATGATTGTTTAAACTTCTTAACGTACAGATAGGTACAAGTGCACTTAACAAACCTGAAGGTTTGCACGTTCGGGGTTAAAGATACATGTGACTGATAAACTAATTTATTGTTGTTGTTATTATTATTATTATTATTATTATTATTATTATTGTTGTTGTTGTAGATTAATATTATTCTTACAGGCAGATAGACTAGCAACTTTAAAACAGCAAAGTAGTAAAATAAAACACAATACATATAAGTAAACATAATGCAAAAATTAAGACTTGGCAGAACAATAATTATATTGAACTCATTTTTTACTCACAACTGAGAACCCATATCTCACTTGCAAATCAAGAGGCAAGAAAATATTCATGATTTCCATCTCCTACACTTCTGAAGTTTCTAAATGCTTTTGGACTTTTACTTCCTTATTAGTTTACAGCTGGCTGCACACTATAGGATTGAGACCACTACTTATAATAAAACATAAATTACTAGTGAATATATTATGAAATACAATACTTTAATTAATGACACAACTTACAACACTTAATAAAACACAAATAAATCATAGGATTATTTAATTTTGGATGGTAATCTCCAATATTTTAATTAGTAATATACATTAAATACAAAACGCTTCGTATACTGATTTTCTATTGATTTGAATTTAATCTAAAATATAAATCTATCAACTCTGACTATACTATCATTAGTTACAATACAGTTCTCCCCTTTATGTTTGATTCAAAACACTTCAGAATATTATGTATAAGTAGTAGTGCAAATGAATGAAACGAATGAATTAAATTTTTTTTTGAAAAATCAAATTTATAAGAACACATTAATATTGTCATTATTTTACTAACCTTCTTATGAGTATCATTCACAGTTTTTAATATGACATGATACTCATGTGAACTTATCTTTTCATATCTCACCAGCAATGTATGATTTTATGTATTTACCTGAGTTTGAATTGTTCCAGTTCTATCAGGATCTATCCACTCATTTTTACATTTTGTCCTAACAATAACTTTATGCCTGTTCTGAATTTTGCGGTTTCTGAAAAAAGCAAAAATTGTCAAAGTTGAAAACTTTTTTACAACATATTATAATATATAAAATAAATTAAATATGACATTGAATACATTTGTGATACCTTTCCTCTCTCTATTTACACAAAAAGTTAAAATGACTATTACTCAATTATTAATTGTTTTTTTAGTCTCTAGATCAGTAAATCAAACTACAATTTATATAAAGAACTTAGTTTAATCACAATGTTGACTACACAGCACATACCACCTGTCTCGGCCCAGACACACAGCGTGTGCATCGAACTTCATAATATAACACTAATATCATAACTCTCTTACCTCAAAAAATAATAGAGCTTTATAAATTTGAAGCTTCAAAAATATGAGACATCACTTTAAAGTATAATAAAACTTAGAGAACTTCTATAATACAATTTAAAATTAAAAGTTTTTCATAACATTTTTTTCTAACAATAAATGGTGAGTCATAAATGTGACTCACCGGTGTTTCTCAAAAGTAAACACAGCATAGTTGTATTCATGAATTGCTGTTTGTCGATGTTGTTGGAAGCTGATCTTGCTTTCACATAATATATTGCATGCCCCACACCATAATGGGTTAGTATTATCACGAAATCCTCTCAGTTCTTTTTGATTAACACGTGCAACAGGTCGCCTTCGCTGCAATCAAACATTTTTTTTTTTTAATTTTGTTCATATTAACCTTCAACTTTGACATTTCGTACATAAATGAAAAATGTATCTCAAGGAATGACATGGAGGGGAAAAAAAGATTGATGAAACATTGATTGTAACCTTGAGAGTCTTGGAACTCACTGTTAGCATGCTCTCTTAGATATCTGCAGAAATTATGACAAATTCAGCCACAATTTCAAAACTACCTCACAATTAAATATTTTCTCTAAAAAAATATCATTTTTTAAATCTTTTTCACAAATTTCTCAGTTCTATTACCCTTTTCATATATTACACATCTTCAAGGTAATTTTCAGCAAATTCAACAGTGACAGTACTTTTAGCAAGACTGTAGTGAGATTTATTTTGAGAAGAACAGAAATTTAATGCAAATGCTATAATTTAAACTTCTTCAAAAATAAATGGATATGGCAAAGGCATTTTCCAGTTTGTCATATTTGTCTCATGTCATGTATCCCATTATTAACAATATAAGATATAATGAATAATTCTTGAAATGAATAAAAATGGTAGAAGTAATTAAGCATTGTATTGTCTTTAATAACAGTGAATTGATGCATTTACAATTTCCAGTTACTCCCCAACAATTTTTGTCTCATAACACGACCTTGCTGCAGAATTAAAGCTCACATTAGAAACAAGATCTGCAAGATCTGAACATTTAAATGATGCCAAAATAAGCAGCAACAAAACTTAAGGATTTTTTCAAGTTATCAATGATTTCTACTAACATTTTCCTCGATTCCTTCAAGAGTCTACCAATTATTATTTTATGCCCATTGAATATGCTATTTCAGTATTTTTTTAATAGTATTCAATATAAATTACAAAGGAATTGGGACCAACACAGGGTATTGCGTGCCGTATTGTAGCAGTCTTATGGGAGAAGACAATTCATTTACTAATCAATAGGAATGGCAGCAATGATTGTCATGCTTCAATAAAATTAAAATAGATTAAACACTTACTGAAGTGGGCATGATGTGCAATTGGGTAACACATCAATGGTGAAGCCTGGAAAACAATAATATATTAATACATGCCAAAATACAAATATTGGAATCTAAAATCTGTAAAATTATGAATAAAAATTGTAAGATACTTTACTACCATATAACAATTCCGTACATTAATGACAATAATTGACATGAAAAAACTGCCGACATATGTCTAATGTCGAGAATGCGTGTTTTTGTTAGGTTAGACGTGAACAACTCACACTTAAAAGTTGACCCGAGTCACGTCACACCACGAGACTTCTAGTTTCTACTTCTTTTCTCACGTTTATAACGTTAAAAGCAGTAGCAGAAGCCGGTGGCAATTGAGAGAGAAATATTAGTCGTCAGCCACCAAACACCGCCAACTTCCAGCGTCTGACAGTTGACATCACCGTAACGAAGGAATACTTCGCCGCGAATGGTAGGCAACATTGCCAACATTAAGAATCGCAATATGCCTTACGTTGTTTACCAAGTCAACGAAGTAGAAAAGAGGAGTCCTTTAGCAGCATACACAAAAAGTAGAAATTCACTCACCTTTGCTGATTGTGGAAAGTTCTTTTAGCGGCTGTAATCTAACGCGCGTTCATCACGATCCTAACGGCACGTGATACTGATACAATTTTACACACGCAATGGTAGCTTTTGTTTCTTTAAAAAAACAATTAAAACCATCAAACACAATTTCTGCGTCTTAATGAATTCATCATATTAATCTTCACAATTGCAGACTAAATAACGGATATTCACAAAGAAAGAGAGAAACAATTATTGAATCCAACCACCTCCACGACCCTCATAATCGCACGCTCTTTACCTGCAGACGAGCAATCAGCAACTGTCGCAAAATGGCGAGCTACCGGGTGAAATAAAGGAATTGGGAAGTACACCAATGCTACCAACTTTGGGCAATGCATGACACAAGTTGTGAACTTTCTTCTCGAGACTGAAATGGAGAAAAAGGCATATGTGCAATATTTTTATTGGTTTTGGCCACCTGAAGCAACATTCCTCTTACCTGGCTCCTTCCTTTCCTTTCCAATATCCTTTCCCCACGTTGTACTATTCTTACTTCCGTTCAGGTAGCTCCTGTTTTCTTTATATTTTCCTGGAAATCCTTAGATTTGATTGATTTTAACCCAGACTATCTGCTATTTATTTTTTTCTTACTTTTCCCTAATTGCCATATCTACTTTGACTTCTATGAACCAATTCAGTGAGATTTAGTGAAAACAGGTTCGGATGTCACTGGTGTGTGTGTGTGTGTGTGTGTGTGTGTGTTGGTGTGGGTGTGTGCGTGTGCGTGTGCGCGCCCCACCCCCCGCCCGCGGGGGAGGCTGCTCTGATCGATTGTATTTCATAGTTTCACCAACCAGAACCAGGTGAACGCTGGAACAGTAACTTAAAAACCCGGCCACGGACCGCGCACGATCAATTTTCTCATCCTTATCCCCTCCTACCCCTTACACACGTACATACACACACACACATTTGCACTTCCATGCACTACGTTACCATAAATGGCTGGAGACCAGTGTGGGAGCTTGGAAAATGCCCCTTTGTGGTGCTCTCCTGGAGGAAGGAAACTTCTGTTATGTAGTGCATACCTGTTAAATCATAAGCATTTCTTGTAAGTTAATTAAAACTAAGTTAAACAAGTATATATTCAAACATTACTTACATAATTTTTTTTCCTAATGACCGTGTCAGGTGTTCTCCTACCGCGCACAAGATCCTTGATTGTATTTCCAGTGACCACACGAGCGTTTGTATTAGTCCTGCATTGAGACTATTGCCAGAAATAGAATTCATACAATATAAAAAACGATCTAGTTTTCGAAAATACGTTGATAGCACTTCAGCACTTTGCAATAAGCACTATTGTTTGGACTCGTTTTCCTTTAGTTCATTTCACGACAGTTGTTATTGGTGGTCATAGTGGTGATGATTACGTAATAAAATTACTTTATTTTGTACTTCACTACCTTGGCTTTCACGAACTTGCAATAATTGAAGATCTGTATTTTTAGAATATTTTCTTCTTCTTTGAGTAAGGCCTTCCAGGTCTCTTAATTTCTCAACAGGGAGTGAACCGAAAACAATTTTCAAATTTTGCAGAAAGATACAAAAGACAGAAAAATAAATATTGAACACTCGCGCAGAAAACTGTTAGAGATTCTTACTTCTTTTCCTGGTAGCAATAGCAACAACAATTGTTAATGTTGTAACAGTTGTTTATTTGTTAAAAAATGTATAAATGAAACATCGAACATACAGAATATCAAACAAAAATAAAAACAAATGCAATTGATGTCGGAAAAAAATTAATAAAGGTTTATTGAGTATTATACAGATATGTTCTTCGAACAATTAACACTTCCTGCGAAGTAATTATTCAACTGTCCTTGACAGCTTTTCGCTTTCCTTCATAGTCACGAAAATATTAGAAAAAGTTTTTTTCTAATATGTTTTAACAGTTTTTGCAAAGCTCACTATTAGTACGTTGCAATACCAGAAATTAATATTTCTTACAATCGGAAAAACCTTCAGCCTAAAAGTAGTCCCTCTTTCACCAGGGCCCGCCCGCTTTGCAGGCCTTGCGGCCCCGAACGTTGCGCCACTGATACAATGCAAAAACCTTCTAAACTCTGTAATATACAGTAATCATCAAGATTTACTTTTAGCGTTATTATGTTCTATATTTTCATAGACCTTTAAAAGCATCGTTTATAGCAAGTGTTTTCTATTTTGAATTCCGCGCATCGAAGTCAGCCTATGATATTGATTCTCTCTCTCTCTCTCTCTCTCTCTCTCTCTCTCTCTCTCTCTCTCCTTCTCTCTCTCTCCTTCTCTCTCTCCTTCTCTCTCTCTCCTTCTCTAACTCTCCCTCTCTCCCTCGCGCTCTCGCTCTCTCTAGCGCTCTCTCTGTCTGTCTCTCGCTCTGTCTCTCTCTCTTTCTGTCTCTGTCTCTCTGTCTGTCTCTGTCTCTGTCTGTCTATCTGTCTCTCTCTCTCTATCTCTCTCTGTTTCTCTCTCTCTCCTTCTCTCTCTCCCTCCCTCCCTCTCGCTCTCTCTAGAGCTCTCTCTCTTTCTGTCTCTGTCTCTCTGTCTGTCTCTGTCTCTCTGTCTGTCTCTGTCTGTCTCTGTCTGTCTGTCTCTCTCTCTCTCTCTCTCTCTCTCTCTCTCTCTCTCTCTCTCTCTCTCTCTCTCTGGCGAAAAAATGGGAGATTGGCTATGCTCAAATACAGCGAAATGGACTGTGTTTCAAGACAGAAATAGTAACTTCCTGTAGCAAGTAATGTACTTCAGCTTCCGGGTCAGAGACGCTCTGTCGATCAGGTTTTCGACCAGTTTCTCTGATCTTTTTAAGTCGAGAGAGGTTTAGCGATACTAAAAAGAATATGTAAATCGTTTTTCAATGTTCATAAGTTTTCCGTGACTCAGGAGAAGAAATGCCAAGGTTTCAAATGCTGCTAACCTCGCAACAAAATTGGTACTTTTATTCATCCTGTCATGTGTAGTAAATAGGTGGGGAAAAGATTCTGGAACTGAAGAAAACGTGTGTGGACTATTCTTCTCTCTCATACAGTTTTTACTGTTCTTTGACTAAAATAAATTAAGTCGAGCATTGCGACAAAGATACTGTGTAATCGTTGTTTTAAAATATTGGTAGTACAACGCAAAATACAAGTACAACGCAAAATAACAGTATTGAAATATCACCTATCAATATAAGTGCAGCATTTGATCAATAAATAGAAATAAAAATGAATATATCTAGCAAAAATTATATTATGAATTTGCATGCTTACGAGAACAATATCTTTTTAGAATACTTCGAGGTATAATATAGAATTAATTTTATGTATGAACCATACTTCTTATTATTTTCCTTTCCAATTTTAATTTCAGAAAATCTAAATTACAAAAGTACTCCTTTCAATAAAATTAAACTTTATTTAGCAATTAATGAAATAGTACATATTTGTATATGCGCTTGTTTGTTATTAAAACAATAAAAAGCAACCCCAATCAGGCATGTTAATCGTCTTGCGCCAAAGTTCTTCATCGGATGCTTTGGAAGCACTTGAGTTTTGGGATGAAACTGCAACAAAAATATTTTTTTCATTTTGGCTTCAAACAAGAGCAATATGAACTCAAAGCACTTAAATAACGTGCATCCCATGTCCAAGTGCGTACTTAAAGAAAATACTGCTCTTACAAACACGTGTTAGGTGGAGGCGTGCCAACAGAAGAGTCACGGGTCTGCGGTTAGGGGGTTCATGGGACAGTGGGGCAGTGGGGCAGGAGTACCATCGGTCCCCTAAAATTCTAAAATTGGGGTAGTAGCCTTACGTAGTAAACATTTTATTTTCATAAATATGTTCAATTACTAATTTTCCTCTTTTTAAACTGACATCTTCAGGAATTCGTATACATTTGAAGAAACTCTAAGCCATCTGGCAACCTGTAAATGTTTCAAAATAAAATCAATTATATTTATTAATTATATTCTTGAAGTTGTAACTTCATTATCATTGCAGTTATTTATTTACATGTAAAAAGTGGTAAGTCATATGTAAGTAAAAAATAATGGAATAAACCATAAAGTTTATATAATTTAAAGCATTTTTAAAGGAGTTAAAGGCTGTAATGCACAGGGATAAAATCCTCCTCTTCTGAGCTGCTATGGACAGACAGACAGATGGACGACGAGACGGACAGACATATGTTTTGCCGTAAACCAATTTTTCGGTAACAAGGACCCACAAAATGTGGATTTTGACTACACAACGTGTTGACAAAGTACTGTATTACTTGAGTCCGGACAATCCCCTATTTGCCCATTTTATTTCTTTGAATGTAACTTTAGGCAACCTGCTCCATAATCCATCGTTCTCGCAAGAAATGACTGTGACGATCATTTTATAGTGCCTGCAAGGGCTTATTTTAAAGATAATTGCCTATTCGAGCGTTAAGAGTCAGATCTATCAGAAATAATAGTAGTAGTAGTAGTAATAATAATAATAATAATAATAATAATAATAATAATAATAATAATAATAATAATAATAATAATAAAGCACTATATGCGCTGCCATTCGCTAGAACTAATTTCTTTTATTAAGAGGGTACCATGGCTCATAAAAATACAAAATATCTTCTGCTCTCTAAGAAACTTACAGAAATTGACCTCGATCCTTATCTTATAGCTTCAATGAAATATGCCCCTGACACTATGTGCAAGGTAGAGCACTACTGTTACAAAGTAATTTTGAATGAAAGAAGAATCCCTTTCACTATTAAAAGAGTGGAAAAGTTCTTAATTGTGCACTGTCCCTGTGAAGTGTAATGAGATTTGATTGTCATGTGATTTTAAAAATTAAAACTATTTTTAAAAACTGTTGACTTTGTATTATATTAATTTTCAGAGAATTGTGTTCATCCATTATGTTCGTATTAGTCTAAATTTGAATATTAAATAATTTCATTTGCTGATTGAGGGAGCTTTTGTGCCAATTTTCAACTATAATGCCTATTTGCCTACCTATTTTCGTCGTACCTAACACCCGAGCGCTATTTATTACATATCATCATCAGCAGCAGAGGAAGTAGCAGCATGATTTAGGCTAATCTAGCCTGTTCTGGCAAAGATGTCTAGAGAAGACCATCTCTCCTTTGTTCTTCCTACTTCTCTTTTTCCTTTTGGGAGATAGTAATAGCCATGATTGGGCAATCTCTCATTGGACGGCAATACCCAATTCTTCTCTTACATTCTCATTTCTGTTATGGTCCATAAATGTGCAGCCCTTCAAATACCTCAGGAATTGCGTTTCTTCTGCGTTAATTCTTCTGTTTTCCCTAGATGTTTTGTATCCCTACAGGATAGTAGATATGGTCACTGTTTTATAAAGCTTGAGTTTGGTTTCTTTTTGTGCTTTCTTTTCCCGTGTTCATATGATACTGTCACAGAGACGCTGAAATTTAGACATTTTTGGTTGCATATCAATGCCATTAAGATACGTCAAGTTGCATCCTAAATATTGAAAATTCAATACTTATTCGATAGTTATGTTGTTTATTTTGTTGATTGATATTTTATAGTTATATTTATTTTGTGATTTAAATATTGTCTGGAGCAATTAGTGATTAAAACTGTACCATCCGCAAACAAAATACTGTTGATATTAGTGTTATTTACTACTGGAATTCCCTCCAAATCGTTCTTCCATTCTCAGAAAAGTGCGTCGATTGGCATATATATTAATAAGCAATAAATATATATTTATTATGTGTATTAGGAACATGAATTATCCACTTGTTTTGGTATCAAGGACTTACACTACGAATTTTTCGGCCAAAAAATCGCCGTTTTCGCTGCAGCATTATTATATACACTACGTACGTAGTATGTGAGAAAGAAAGATGTTAGCATTTTTTATTTACATTTACATATGGATTAATAAGAAAACAATATGGAGAATATTTTCTTTTTTAAATATTCGCAGTCACAGGAAATTTCTCATATCAGTGGTGGGCCATCGATCGAAAAAAAACAATCTCTTACATCTCGCCGGTGAGAATGTGCCAATCTCGCAGGCTCAGTAAACGAAACAGGAGAGAGGGTTGTAAAGCAAGTGAGAGCACGTGGACGGCAATCTAGGGGATCGAAACACAAAATTGACTATGCTTTCTTTGCTATATACACAAAGAAAAAAACATCAGCAAACAATTGCCGCAAAAACGGGTTCCCTGCGTTTCATGGAAGTGGAGATACAGTGACTTCAGCTCGTGTTGATGACGTCTCTTTGTCTACCAGCGCCGACCGAGAGCAGCATTACCGCGTGGTACCTTCTTCTCCCAATGGAAGTTAGCAGGACCACTTCATTCACTCAGAAAACTGCATAATTTGCCGCTTTTTGCAGTTCTTAATATGTGGAAAAGATTTGGCAGACGTCGTGCCTGTGTCTGCAGAGATGCGGCAGTCGGTTTGGATTTCGAAAATAATTTAAAGACATTTTTTTTAAAAACCTGGATCTGCTATTCTTTATGAACGGAAACGTAGAAACTGAGGTATTTTTTGTAACAGGAGCTACACCCTATATGCAGGAACATACGCCTTTTATTCGTTACAAAGGCCCTCCATTACCAATTTGTGTTTTTCGAAAATTCGCTACTGCAGCATTATAGTATTTTTTACCAGGCACACACAGTGAGGCGACAATGTTACAATCTAAGAGTGTTATTCTCTCTCTCTCTCTCTCTCTCTCTCTCTCTCTCTCTCTATATATATATATATATATATATATATATAGAGAGAGAGAGAGGAGGGAGAGAGAGAGAGATCGACACAGAATTGTGACCTGTGCGTGCATATCCTTTGCATTACCCCCTCTCAAATCCCACCGTTCTAGGAAGACAGACGGCGAGGCAGTCGGTGCGGCCTTCCCATGACTAAAGCCCTGTTGCCAGGTCTCATACAGATGCCTTTACTGGATCTCATTCATTTCCTCAGAGCAAAAATAAAAAAAAAAGCTCGCTCATATTCATCAAGTTGAAATAGTTCATACAGCAATATAACGCATTTTGAAATTCTTATAGTTACTTGGCGGGGGGACGTGGCTTTGTGATCGTACTATAGAGCCGCCAATGGTAATTGCAATCGTGCCCCGGAAAACTGCGAATTTTCGACAGAATATCTCATATCGTCGGGTTCTAATACCGAAAAAGTGGATAAATAGCTTTGTCACATATAGTAAATTTCTTCCTCTAACACGCGGTGAAGCCAGAATCTGATTTATTGGGTTCTTCAAAATCGATTGACGGCAAAACGTCTTAATTAAACGTCTTAAGCCGACGGCTATATGTCTGTCTCTGGTCATCTCCAGCGCCTAAGCCAATTTTTCCCAAAATTTATATTACCCGATCGATCTGAACGAAATAAGGTGATGGTCAATTTTTCGAAAAGAATAGTAATTTTCCTCGATGTAAGCAATTTTTAATTTCGTAAAACATTTTTTACTCAAAAACCACTCAAAATTCTTTCTTCGCATTTTCTCCTCGTATGAATCAAGGGAAGGTAAAAATATGGAGTAGTGTAAATAGAAACCTAGATTTTACTTCAAGTCTGAAATAAGTAGTACAAGCATTTACAGTCGAGAAAAAGCATTACTTCATTTAGTGTGCATAACTTTTACTTTTACTAGGAGGTAAATGTTGGGAAAACAAGTAAATATTTGTTGGAGAATGCTGGGGAAATCGGTACATACTCGTATCGTGAGGAGCGAATTCGTGAGAGTTGATTGCTCAGCTGATTCGGTTTATTACTGTGTTCACGAAAGAAATGAGGTCCTCAGAAGAGTTATCTGCGAAAGACTACTTAGTTTCTCAAACAAATGAGATTCGAGAAAATCATTGAAAAATAGTATGTGTTACATATGACACCGTGTTAAATAAATTGTAGTTTCCAAACATTAGGACTAGAAAGGAAGCAGCACACCCTGCTCTTATTACTGAATATGAACAAGCGTGTGAAAAAACACTGATATTGCCGCATGTCAAAGAAAAAACTAGTGGTGACTCAGAATGGCACAGATTTTCCCGTATTAGTTTTCTATTGAATTAAATTGAATTGAATTTACCTTATTTTACGTGGCGAGACTCTATTTCCTTTGATCTCGGCTAACAAAATTATCATTTATTACCGCTTAATATATTTTATGTAGTGACTCCATTCACATTTTCCTGAATATTTCGACGACAAAGGTATCAGAAAATTCAGTAAGGTTTTAATTTTCCAACATTGTCTCATACAAATATAAGTAAACAATTTATTGAAAATGGCTTAAAACCAATAAGCAAAACTTAGAGAAAGTACGAAATTTATGATATTGGTATTGGTGTTACAGATACTAAGAAATTAATTATTACCTCTAAAATTTGTAAAAGAATATGTAACATGTCAACTTCATACTGTGAACTACATTTTTCTCAAAACATCACAATGATCTTTACTAGTTTTCATGTCTGTATTTCTAGGGCATGTGGGTCTTTTTTATTTATTATTATTATTATTATTATTATTATTATTATTATTATTATTAT